GTAAAATTATCAAACCATTTAGGAACATATATGTTATGTGTTACAGCAGCAGCATATATTTTGCAGCATAATCCAGAGAGCAGGAAATTGTTAACAGGGAAGGAGGGGAAATCCATCTGGGCTGGGGTCATACTCTCAGCTATTGCTGACTTGTTGAGTACCCTTCAGGATGTGACTATAAATCTCCAACAGAGATATACCATCTTCTGGGGATGTTCATATCCACCCCACTCATAAAGTTGTAAGAAAAGTCAAGTAATATCGATGAAGTTCTCTGAGGTCTTCAAAATGCTGTTTAATAGCAAAATTGTTTTAGTTGTCACTGAAGCCACAGATATTTTGTGAATGCAGTGTGTCCCCATAAGCAATCCCCCCTAATAGCCTCACAGTCCACGCTGGCACCAGACTCGCACCCTGAAACTGGAGAAAAAGGCTGACAGGTGGTTATAGCAGCCATATCTCAGGTATGCAGGTCTGCCCTCCTCCAACTAGACTTCCGTGGTGGACAGTGAACGCTGCAGCCATGAAAGCTCTGTATGGTTCCACCTGAACATCCCTCCGTTGTTGTCACGGAACCTTTCCCATTTTCTGTTCCAATCTTGACTTTCCCCATTCAGAGGACCTGCAATTTCAAGGACCCCTTCTGCTATCCTTGCCAGTAGCCACCTTCCCCAGACCAGACTCCCCTCTTCCTTCCTCCTGCCTGCTCTGTCACCACCCACCCAGGCTTGGTTTTCTGACCCTTCACTGTACTTACCTGAGGAGGGCATCATGCCAGAGTATATGATAGAGAAGCCGAGAGAATGAGAGGGACAGGTGGAAACAGTGCTTCAGAAAAACACCCTGGTAACAGCAATTACTGTCCTTTCTGCAGCCCAAGAGAAGCCTGGTTAGAGACAGAATGAGCAGAATAAATGGGTTCTTGCTGAGCCCCTAATACGGAGGTCATTATTCAGCATTGGGGTAGCTTAGCCCATTAGGATACATTTTCCTTAAACTTTGGGCAGATTCTCTACATCTGTTAACCTAACAGTATCTTTCTCTCTCTCTCTCTCTCTCTCTCTCTCTCTCTCTCTCTCTCTCTCACTCTCTCACTCTCCCCGACTTGTCAGTCATGGCAGAGTAAGTGTCAGTGCTGATCCACGAGAAGGAGTTGAAAGAGTGGCTCTTTAGAGAGCATGCATCAAAAACTGGAGAAAAGTATGTGCATTCACTACCCTCCCATCCTTGGAATAGCAAAGGACATTGCCTCCCCCTCGATTTCTCCACTTGCTGTCTGGTTTCTGCATCTTCCGAGCTCAGTTGTTGCTTGCTAAGGAATCCTGTCTTTGCTGTTTGCTGACATTTTATTCATGGTACGACTTCTTTCCATTAGCACGTGTAACTGAGAGCATACTCTACCCTGAACTCTGAATTACATAGCTGCAATATAATCACTTGCTTTATTGATTATCTGAAATAATTTTTTAATCGTGAGTTGGCTTCCCCATGCCATGCAAGTCATTTCTCAGTGGGTTTCATTTATCATCATTTCCTTTGTGCCGAAGGGAATGGTTGAATTTTTCTTAAAAGGAACGTGTACTCTGTACTAAGTGCTTTATCTCTTTAATGTTCAAAATGCACCTCGCAAGACAGGTACTGACTGTATTCTTCTCAAGATACAGATAAGGAAACTGAGGCTTAGAGAGGTTAAGTAACATGCCCAAGTCACTCAGCCAAGGAAATGGAATTCATATCTGACTCCTGCCCTCAAATGGATCGTTTTAAAGCAAAGGGGCTTATATGAGCTTCCCCCGCCCTCCCCCTGCCCCACCTCATGTTATAATTCTAGTGTCTGTTTTGTACTTTGTGTTTTGTACTTTGAGTCTAACAAATCGGACTTGCCATTTCTGGCCATAGGCTGAAACCTGGAAAACCATCCACTACCATTCATCTTAACTCTTCATTTCTCCATATTGAGAGCAATACTCAGCAGACCATGTCTGTTCCATATATAATGCTGAAAGCCCTTGGGGGAATCACTATAAGTATATGCAGGAAAAGTAACTGAAAGGAAAAAAATATTAACATTTCTACTGAGTGATATAGTTTCACATCTAAACATATAGACATGAAAGTTGTGGACACCTGACCACTCCGCAAATACACCCCACTTAGTAAGACAGTTCCTGAAGCGCCCCTGCTCCCCCAGCACGGCACCTATAAGTATAGAGAGCCGCTCCTTTAAGGGGCTCCCCAGTGCTTTGCAAACATTTTTCTTCATTAACTATCATACCATTTTTCTGTGCCAGGGAAGGACACAGGATACTTTGCCCTATTTAAAATGTGGGCCCGCTGAAGCATTGAATGACTTAAGCAGCCTGCCCTCAGGTCCTGCACTGATGAGTCCTGGACTAGAGTCCTCGGGGGTCATAGGCCATGTGGGCAGAGGCCTCTGCATCTGCAAGGGGCTGTGGCAAGTGCTTGGTCCAGCTCCCCACTTACAGAAGGGGAAACAAACCCAGAGAGAGAAAAACGCTTAGAAAGCCCAGGGTCACACCAATAATTAAGGGCCAAACCAATATGACATGCAAACAAACAACATACAGATCTGTGCTATGGAGGGAAAGATGACAACTGTGAAGAATCAATTTAGAGTCAGATTAGAAGGGTGTGAAAGAAAAAGTCTTCATCCATGACCTTGCCTAGAGGAAAAACACACTGGAAGAAGGTGAAAGTTTCAAACGGCAAGAGCATTTTAACATAGACAAAGTTTCAACTTCCTAGCAGCCAAAATACCATCTGGTACTTAAGAAGGCATGCTTCCCATGAAAGGTGACAGGTGGACATTTTAAAAGATAGTTGGCCGGCCTATCGTAGCCTCTAGAAAGTTTACTGAAAGCACGGGGATGGCAAAGACCAGCTTGAGTTCCAAACATGTTTACAGCTGACAGAAATGTTTCAACTAAAAATAACATGCATGACTGCTTCTCCTAGGGACTCTCTCATTTCAGGAAAATGTACCTGGGTAAACACCATGCATTGGCTGAGCTCTTCCTTTAGGAATGAGGCTTCTCGAAACTCCCTCACTTCAGTCTAAAAGTGAAATGTTTCTCTTCTGATCCTATGGATCACACTGCCCCATCAGTGAAAACCAGGGAAAGGAAATCAAAAGGGAATTGAGAGGAGCAGGAGGCAGGCCAAAATGTTTGTGAATAACTAAAGGGAAAAGAATTCTAAGACCAGTGAAAGTAAGAAATTTGTGGAGTAATTCCTGAATGAAACAGCCATCTCTTCCCATGCTGTGCTTCGAAACATATCCTAGTATGTTTACGAACACAATGAAAAAGCTTTCTGATGAGTTCGAGTTTCATAGAACAGATCACGCACGCTGAGCCTGGCATGTACTAAGCACTAATATGTGGCGATTGTTTGCAGTGCTGTTGTTTCCATGATACATCTTTTCTGTTTCATAACAGAAAAAAGGGAAACACAGTCAAGGCATATATTTTAACTGGAAGTTAACTGCAACTTAAGAAATAGATTCCTACCATGATGCACAGTGCAGATGGTGAAATATTACCCTAGAGACCTTGAAAGGCTTTGGGCTTTCAACTGGGTTGTGGAAGAGTACATAGAAAGACTTCATTCTCAGAGGCGGGCAAGCAGAAATGAGGTGGGAGAGATGGGACACCTTAACGCAGTTCATCTCAGCTGTCAAGAGCAGAGCTGAGAACAAACAGCACCAACAAAAATCAGGTCTCTATTTATCCAAAGAGACTTCACAGGCCTATGGACGTTACTTACAGAAGAACACCTCACGTGATTATTCAGTGGCAATATTTATACTTAACCTTACTGTTTTTAACAAGCTTGATTGTTTGGTTTCTAAGTCAACGGCAAACCAAAGCAGTAAACTGAGGAGAAAGAAGAGTTTTGGCCAACAGACTGAGAGCAAAGAAGGAGGAAACTTTTTTTAAATTGACCCAAGAGTTCAAAAAAGCGTATGGAACCATTTAATGGGCAGGGGTGAGAGGGAGGATAGTGTGGTAGTAAGAATACCACACAAGTATTCCCACGCCGCTCTGGGTGGTCTGCAAAGTGATTGCATGTGTTTTTTTATGTCAACACCGGTGCAGTGAGGTAAGTAGGGCTGTGCACCTCAGAGGCATTTGTGATTTGTCGGAGTGGTGAGCAGTGTGCTGGGACCTATGTTTAAACAGGATGGATGTACTCTGAGATCCTTGTGTTGTCCACCACCTACTCAACCTCCACACCAGACGAGGCCAATCTGCAGCTCAGTGCAGTCAAGACAAAATAGCCGATTAACACTTAAGTTACATTTTAGGAAGATTTCTGTATAAAATAGATAAAATTAGAAGTGTAGCTCTTCAGAATGACTGATTCCTTTGTTAGTCAATGTTTTCCAGACCTAAAACCAAGGCATGAGTGCGCTTACTAGATGGAATACTGGAAATGGAGAGTGTCCCCAAAGAGCCAAGCTCTGTGACCATTGTCCTTTCAGTTCCCAAAGATTCTAGAGAACCCCATGTCTCCAAAGGTCTTTCCTCTCTCTTATTTCTTTGATAAGAGAAATTTTATCATTTATAACAAAAGAGTATTTGTTTGATAAAATGGAAGACACATAGTTATAGCCCCTAATGATGATGCTGAAAATGACCCCCGTAAAGCAGCCCTCCCTTTTCTCCACAGGATGACCTTTTAGTGGGGAATATCTTGTAACTTTCCAAGAGAGCCATTTTCTGACACAGAGAAACAAAAAACTCTAGACTGCCCTGGCATCACCTTAAAGCAAGGTTTCTCAGAGCATGAGAGGCTAGGAAGGACTGGATCTTTCCAATCAAGAGAGATCCATTAATGAAGCAGACTTTATTTATTTTTTTAATTTCTTTTTTTGTTTGTTTCTTTGTTTTGTGTTGTCTTGTATTTCTGTCTCTCCTTCCTCCCTCCATCACTATGTGTCACTCCGTCCTGCTTGCCGTCTCTTCCCACATCCACAGGTGAGAAGCCCCACCAATGCAGCATCTGCTGGCGCTCCTTCTCTTTAAAGGATTACCTTATCAAGCACATGGTGACACACACGGGAGTGAGGGCCTACCAGTGTAGTATCTGCAACAAGCGCTTCACCCAGAAGAGCTCGCTCAACGTGCACATGCGCCTCCACCGGGGGGAGAAGTCCTACGAGTGCTACATCTGCAAAAAGAAGTTCTCCCACAAGACCCTCCTGGAGCGGCACGTGGCCCTGCACAGTGCCAGCAATGGGACCCCTCCCGCGGGCACACCCCCCGGAGCCCGCGCCGGCCCCCCAGGGGTGGTGGCCTGCACGGAGGGGACCACTTACGTCTGCTCCGTCTGCCCAGCAAAGTTTGACCAAATCGAGCAGTTCAACGACCACATGAGGATGCATGTGTCTGACGGATAAGTAGAATCTTTCTCTCTTTCTTATGAACAAAACAACAACAAAAAAGAAACAAACAAACAAAAAGCTATGGCACTAGAATTTAAGAAATGTTTTGGTTTCGTTTTTACTTTTCTGTTTTTGTTTTTGGTTCGTTTCATTTTGTACTACATGAAGAACTGTTTTTTGCCTGCTGGTACATTACATTTCCGGAGGCTTGGGTGAATAATAGTTTTCCCAGCCTCCCTCGGATGGTGGCCTTAAGGCCTGGTAGTGCTTCAAGAGGTCCACTGGTTGGATCTCTAGCTACTGGCCTCTAAATACAACCCTTCTTTACAAAAAAAAAAAAAAAATNCTGGTACATTACATTTCCGGAGGCTTGGGTGAATAATAGTTTTCCCAGCCTCCCTCGGATGGTGGCCTTAAGGCCTGGTAGTGCTTCAAGAGGTCTGAGCTGCCAACAGGTAGCAGGATGGCTCAGCTTAAAAAAAAAAAAAAGAAAAAAAAAAAAAAAAATCTTTAAAAAAAAAAGCAAAAAAAAAATTTTTTTTTTTCACTTGTGAAGAGCACTACAAAAATATATAACAAAATCTCAAAGGCCTACTGTCTTTAAGTACACCGCTTGCAGTGTTTCAGTGGACATTTTCACAATTCTGGCCACTTGGACTTCACAGTAACCAGTTAAAACTGTGGAATATCACTTCTGGTTGAAAAGCCAGAGGAAAGGCCCTGCTGTTTTCCACCTACCATGTTGTCTGATTTCATAAAAGGGCTGTGGGGTGGGAAGGGGCAGTGGGTTTGGTGGTGTGGGAAAGGCAAATAGCAGGCTTCTCCCTCCAGATTCTGCTTGGGTCCACACACCCTGCCCACCTCGTCCATGTCCCCCCTTGCAGCAGAAGCCAGGAAGACTTGGACAAGCATCAAGCAACAGTGGCTATCGTATTTATTCAGTGTCTTCGCTGAGCCACAGCCTCAGCACAATCAAGAGGGACTTTCATGAAAGGCAGGAATGCAGATAAAACAAAGATATCAGAGGTTTGCACCTACGTTTCTAGGTACAAGAGAAGGATTATTTCCAACAATCTTTGCAAAAAACAAAAAACAAAAAAAAAGTGTCAGGATATATTCTTGTGGAAGAGAGAAAGAGAAATGGAGGGTGGGGGGGGAATAATCAAAAGTTCTTGAGGCTTTTTTAATTCAAAATTTTATAGAGGGGCAAAAGTGACGTTTACCAGATAGAATGCTGATTTTTTTAATATATTTACAACAGTATTTGTGTAAAAAAAAAAACAAAAAAAAAGTGAGATTGTTAAAAGTAATTTCTTTTTTCCATTTTGGTTTTGCATACACTGCCACCGATCCCTTCTCTTTTATTTTATTTCACACACATATATATATTTTTTGGTAAGTCAAGACTGTTAAGGTTAGCAATACTGCTTCCAGATAGAAAGAATAAAAGGCAATTAAAGTTATATTTGAAAGAGAGGAAGGATATTTTCTTCATATTTTTTTTAATTTTTCTTAATTTTTATTATTTTAAGTATTGCCTGGGTTGATGAGGGCCTCAGTGGCCAGCCCATCCCTGCTGTAATTTGAACTGCTGCTTTGTATTTTGATATGTAGTTCTTTGACTTTTTAGCAAGCTTAGGTTGCTCCACTGAATTTTTTTGTTTTCAGTTGATCCATTTAGAATTCTGTTCTTCTTCATAGGAGGGACTTTATCTTTCAGAAACAGATTTCTTGGTTCTTGAGAAGTTCATTGAGATCTTATGATTCTAGACTCTCTATTGACTTTCCTTTTTTTTCTTTGATGAAACACTAGTAGTTGAGAGGTCTTGACAAGTGAATTCTTTCCTTTTGTGGTCAGCCTGGAGGAAGAGTTCGCAGAACTCTGTCTGTCAGAGCTCCATACCCTTCACAGCCACGAACAGCGTTATCAGAAGCCTGTTACAGAGCAGGATGCCTTGATGCCAAAATTACTTTCTTCCTTTCACATATACCTTCTGACAATTTCCACCATGGTTGAGAGGGCAACATAAGATGATCAGTCTTTAGATGATTTACTAACCCTTGCTGTTTGGAAAGGTTTTAAAGAAAGTAACAAAAATGTCCCAGATGCCAACATCCATCATTCAAAGACCACCAATCCATTGCATCATCCTAGGTGTCACTCTCTCTTCCTAGTTGGGATTTCTCTCCTCGGTCCTGATGAAAGTATTATAATAGAGATTTTTTTTCCATTTATAGACAGTGTCCTGAAGGGATTCTAACTCAAATATAGAAATTCTTAAACCTAACAAAAACATCAGAGATGATGACATTGCTGGGCATATTTTAACACACTTAAGGGGAAAAGCAAAACTTTGGACAAAGCAGAAACACCAAACGACATTTTAAAAAAAGAAGAAAAGAGTATTTTAGTTTCAAAATTACTTTGCATTAATTTTCCTTTCAGCAACTTATTTATAAAAACTATATAGCAAATGAGAAGTCTTTCCAAGGAAAACAACTCTATAATGACTAAATTGGTGTTACCCATCTATTTTAGACTTTTAGTTAACTTGGATCTTTTCCACAAGTTCTTGCTGATGTTTAGTAGGGTTAGTGCAACTGGAGCCTATGTGAGTTTGATTTGGTCCTGTGGTCCTTAATTCAGTAAATATTTTGCTAAAAGGTGTATTGTAGACTTGAATGGTTAATTGACTGTTGAATATTGCCCATCGTGATTTGTAAGAGGAATTCTGCCAAGAACTGTGTGTCCAAAATTGACCTGTTTTAAAAGTTAGTAGAAAACAACTAATTCTCTTGCTATATTTGCTTTATAAAATAGCAATGTTGTAAGACTCTAATATTTCCATTTACTACCAACAGAGGGAGCATTAGTTAATTAACCATGTCATGGAATTGTTTTGATATTATGAAAACAAGTCATTCAACGCATGAAATCAAAAAGAAAAACTTGACATTAAGACAAAATGTTTTTTAATCGAGAAGAAAATGACCTGATATCAGTAGGCATATGTTACAAAGAAAGAAAGCCAAAAGCCACTTTAAAATATTTTTAATTGCTCAACAGTAGCTGATTTAAAATAGCATTCTTATTTAAACCTAGCATGGTAGACAGAATTCATAGTACCTCCAGAAAAGTTGATTTTGGATCGTATTTTATGGGCCACATTTAGCTATCTGCTTGTCATATATGAGGGAGATCCATTTGCCTTAATGCTGATTTGCCATGTAAAAAGCTAAGCAATTGGGTTAAAATCCACCTTTTGTTATGGAACATATAATAGAAAAAATTTCAGTAGGGCTTGAAAGCCTAATATTCACCCTTTCCCTTCAAAAGAAGTATCTCTTTTTTTTTTTAACGTCAGAGGATCCTTAAGGAATTTTTGGTGAGATGATGTTATCAGTCGAGCAACATGAACCGCCCAGGTTTGCACAGCTCTAGACTTTTTCTACATGTTCACATGTATGTCTGTACCTCCCAAACATCTCATAGCTGAAAGTAGTTGACAGATTTGTTCTCTGGAGAGAAGAAGAAGCTATATTGGAGTAGAAGATCTAACCTGGAGGAGCAGTGAACAGTGAACTTGCTGTGGGGTCATTACCATATGTTCTGGCCTCTAAAAGGGCTGCTTTCCGAACTGACCAACATTTTAGAAAATAAACTGTCATATCTGTTTCAAAAGGTTATAGATGCTTTTAGGTTGTCAATCTTTACTTCAATAAATAATCACAAACATGTTAGGAAATGGGGAAATATATTTTGCTTTAAGAACAGAAGAGGAGCATGAGTCCTTTTATTTTTTTGGTTTCAAATTCAACAATCTTCTTGCATTTTGAACTTCGTGCTAGGATGCTATGTGTGCTAAGAAAGCTTTTTTTGGTAGCCAGAGGAAAATAAATATATAAAATGAAAGCAAGTGTTCCAGATTTAACACCTCTTAGGACAAGTATGGGATGAGGACAAGAACTGACATGGAAAAGAACATTTTTTTTTAGCAATTTATGATTTTAAAACTGGGTTAGCTGAACAAGGGTAAGGAAAAAAAAACTCAAAGAGGAATATGTCTCTCAAGATATTTAGATAAAGTTTATGAAAAATAAAATTTCCTAGCACTGAAAACTTGGTAGTATCTCAGCATAGTGTACTATTTTCCCTTACTAAATGCCATTATTTGTACCCAAAAAAGCACCCCAAAGGTGTAAAATATAGCCCTAAAAATGAAGAAACTAGAACACATGATATCTGATACAAATCTCTACATGGGGAAAGATTGAGAAACAAGCCAGGCCATAAAACAAAAAAAAAAAAGTATATCGAAATGTTTTTTACTATATATTTCAATTGAGTTGTAAACTTTAGCTCTTAATAAGAGTTTTATAGACTTTTCCTCCCCAAATTCCTAATGCTCTGAATCTGTTTGTGCCATGAGTAACTGGTGGATAATCCCCTGCTTATGTTCCAGCTGCAATCCATTCCTAGGCATCTTGAAGATTACAATAGCTCCTGACCTTAGAAAGAGTGATTTGAATTTGCTTTGTTTAGAAGTCATTGGGGTTCTATTTTGTATCATCCCAATATTCCTATAAGGACCAAGAAAACCCTTTCCAACCCATGAACAGTTAGAATGTATGCATTCTGATCTGAAAGAAAAAAAGATTCCCTCTGGGTGTGTATGTTTCACCTAAGTCTAATGGATTGACCTACATGTACTTCCATCACAAAGTACACCCACGGTATGTGCCCAGGCCATGCCCCAAGTTAGTGTTTGCCCTCAGCACAGAAGTTCCAAATGAGGTGTGCCCCTCAGATATAAATCCCTCAGATTCCCCGAGAGAACATCATAAAGGTTCATGTTGCTTCCTAGTTGGGGCTCCCATAATGCTCCCAGCACCCATTGCCCTTAGGAAATGTGTGGCAACAAGGTAGGTCAGGCCAGGGTTCACACCAGATATGCCCATTTTGGAGCCTTCCTCTGTTGTTACAGATGTTATTTAATTAGTTGGGGCTGAAAGCCGAGGATATGTGACTCTGCAGCAAAGCTATCAGATAACCAGTCTACCCCCTGCTATAGCCAGTGAGCTGCTACAGCAAAAAGAAACAAAATGAAGGTGCAATGTAAGAGCACCACAACCTGAGATACCGTTGGGATTTAGGAGAATGGGAGGGTGCCCTTTCTGTTGTGACCTGACGCTTAAAAGAAATCTTCTGAAAGAATTCTTTAATTTAGGAATGAGTTGAAGTCCAGAGTAATGGAAGCCCTGGGGAAGAGAACAAAAGGATTGCAAAATGTATTCAGCACCCAATAATGTGAAACCAAAAAAACATCCAATCACATTAGGTAGTT